TGCTGCTGCCTCTGCTGCTGCTGCTGCTGCTGCTGCTGCTGCTGGTTCGAACGGTATCCTTTGTTACTGCTTATTATCGCGTTGCTGCTGCTCACTAGGAGGGTTCTGCTGCTGTTGCTGCTGCTGCTGCTGCTGCCACGCATGCATTCCTTGCTGCTGCTGCCCTTGCTCGTTGCTGCAGCATTTCCCAAAATTAAATTATTTGAATTTATATTTCTTAATACTTTTAATGTACTTTGTTCTGATTTTTCCCCTCAAGCCCTCCGCTGCTGCTGCTGCTGTTGCTGCTGCTGCTGCTGGGCACGTTTTCCCCCTCAATGAACAAATGTATGAAGAGTGAATTAAAATAAATTAATTTTGAATTTTTTATTCTTAATTTCCATCATTTTGACTATTAATTCACTTTATTTATCCCCTTCCCTTTTGCTGCTGCTGCTGCTGCTGCTGCCGCCGCTGCTGCTGCTTTTGCTGCTGCTGCTGCTGCTGCAGCTTCTCCCAGCCACTGGCCCAGGCGGGCATGTACCGCAACCACGGGCTCGAGACTTCTTTGGCAAAAGAGTTCATCAAAGGTTCCAAAGACTGGCTCATGAAGATTGTCTAGCGAGGGTTTAGGGTTTAGGGTTTAGGGTTTAGGGTTTAGGGTTTAGGGTTTAGGGTTTGGGGTCTAGGGTTTGCAATTTGGGGTCTGCGGCTGGAGCTTCGGGGATTAGGAATCGGGGTTTAGGGTTTGGAGTTTAGGGTGTAGGATTAGGGCTCTAGGGTGTGGGGTTGGCGGACCGGGGGTTTAGGGTGTAGGGTTTAGGGTTTAGGGTTTAGGGTTTAGGGTTTAGGGTTTGCGCCGAAGGGTTTAGCCGGTGCGCTGAAGGCAGCTAGCTAGCTAGCTAGCTAGCTAGCTAGCTAGTTGGCTAGCTAGCTAGCTAGTTGGCTAGCTGGCCATCTGCCTAGCTAGGTAGCTAGCAGGGTATCTCCCTAGCTAGCTGGCTAGCTAGCTAGCTGGCCACCTACCTGGCTAGCTGGCTAGCTAGCTGGCTAGCTAGCTGGAAACTAGTTAGCTAGCTAGCTAGCCAGCCTAGTTAGCTAGCTAGCTAGCCAGCCAAATAAAGCCCGCTGGCTAGCTAGCTGGCTAGCCAAGTGAGGACCTGCCGGCTAGCTAGCTAGCTAGCCATCTAGAAGAGGGCTAGCTAGCTAGCTAGCCAGGCCAGCTGTAAAAATGGGAGCTAGCTAGCTAGCCGGGGGTTTAATCAGGGAGCTAGTTCTTTGGTCGCAGCTAGTTAGCTAGCTAGCTAGCTAGTCAGGCGGCTAGCTAGCAAGCTAGCTAGCTAGCTGGCTGGCTAGCTAGCTAGCTAGCTTCCTGACAGGCCTACTAGCTAGCTTGCAGCTAGCTGCCTGAACGTTTCGGGAGCTACCTAGCTAGCTAGCTAGCTA